CTAAGTGGTGGGGTATTATTTTTAGGTGCCATCAAGTATGACTCATAATGACCCTAAGAACAGACCTGAACCCTGTCTATCTCGTGCTGTCCTCACCATGCCTGACATACTTGAGCCCATTTCTGGAGTTACCATGTCGATCCACCTGACTGAGGGTCTTCCTCTCTTTAATTTTATCTCCACCTTTCCGAGTATGATGTCTTCCCCTCTCCAAGGAATAGTCTCTCCTACCAACATGCTCAAGGTATGTGAGATGAAGCTCAATTGTCTTTGCCTCCAGGGAGCGCTCTGGCTGTACCTTTTCCATGACCTATCTATTCTTTTTCAGGCCATGGATATTCAGTACTCTTCTCCAACACCACAGCTCAAAGGCACTGACTCTTCTCTCATGCATATTCACTGTCCAGCTATCAACAGCATGGCAAGTGATTGGAAGGACCATGGCCTGAATCAGGTACACCTTGGTCTTTGAACTGAAATCATTGTTCCTCAGTAATTTGAAGAGGTCCCTGACTTCAGACTTTCTCAGTGCTTATATATCTCTCTTGATCTGACTGCTGGCATCAAGTATATTGAAGGGATCCAAGTAAGATGATTGTGGATCCAAGCAAGTGCAGATTCAATCTTTTCTTCATCTATCATGATGTTGTGTTTTGGTCCAGTGGGGAGAAATTGTTTTCTTGACGTTGAGATGCAATCCATAATGAAGGCTGCAGTCTTTGATCTTCTGCAGCAAGTGCTTCAAGTCATCTTCACTTTTAGCAAGCAAGGTTGTGCCATTTGCATAACAAAGGTTATTGATGAATCTTCTTGATGTCCCTTTCTTTTTTTTCACACAGTCTAGTTTCTTGAATAATTTTCTTGGCATACAGATTGAATAGGTATGGAGAAAGATATACATGACACACACCATTTAAAAATTGTGTAGTGTTCCCTTGCTCCATTCACACAATAGCCTCTTTTTCTAGGTACAGGTTTTGCATGAGCAGGATTAAGTGCTCTGAGACTCCCATTCTTCTCAATGTTAACCATAAATTGTTATGATCCACAGTCAAAATGCCTTTGCATAGATAATAAGCATAAATAGACATTCTTCTGATATTCTTTACATTCACCCTGGATCCATCTGACATCAGTAATGATATCCCTGATGCCACAGTTTCTTCGAAATCATCCTGCTTGAACTCCTGGCAGTTCTCTAAGTTGTGGAGTGCAGTGGGAAATAAAAGCAAACAGTTTGGTGTTTTAATGGGGGAGGCTTTGAATGCCTGAGAGGTGGAGATTTTTTTATTATAATGGATACCCAGAAAAGGTGATTTTATTTCATAGGAAGGATGCAATTACTTAGTCTCATTTAGTTTGTTAAAACTTGTAAAGGAAAGATCATTCTGTTGTGATAGAGTATCCAGTGGAGGAAGGAAGTTGGAGACAACATCTGTTCAGTGGTGGTTCAGATAGGAAATATTGAAGATTTAAATTACTTAAAATGAAGAGGCAGGAGCAGCGTTTTTCAAGTGTTTTTACATATGATCCTCATGTTGTTGTTGTTGTTATGTGCCATCGAGTCGTTTGCGACTCATAGCGACCCTATGTACAACAGCCCTAAACCGTGCTCTATCCTGTGCCAATCTCATTGCCCCTGACAAACCCATCCCGAGTACCCCAGTCACTGAATCAATCCACCTCATAGAGGGTCTTCCCCTCCTGTGCTGTCCCTCCACTCTACCCAGCATGATGTCCCTCTCCAAAGACCTGTCTCTCCTTACAACATGTCCAAAGTATGTCAGACGAAGCCCCAGAATCCTTGCCTCCAAGGAGCAGCCTGGTTTAATCCTCTCTACAATGAATCTGTTTGTTTTCTTGGCAGTCCATGGTACATTCAATACTCTTCTCCAGCACCACAGCTCAAAGGCGTCAATTCTCCTTCTATCTTCCCTAGTCATTGTCCAACTCTGATGCATCATAGCAACTATTTTTTTTTTAATATGTGGGTAAATCTAGGCATAGTGTTTTCCCTTCCCACATCTTCTTTCTGAGTGCTTTGTTTCTCAAAATGTGGTCTATTTGACTTTTCTAGGGTGCTTATTGTATCAGGAGGCAGTGTCAGAACAGAGCAAGGAACCACTGCAAGGATCAAAATCAGAAAATGTGTATGTCAGGGATGCATCTGTTATCTCCATACCTTTTCAATCTATATGTGGAACAGATCATGCAGGAGGCTGGGCTCTATATAGAGAAATGTGGTATCAGGATTGGAGGAAGACTTATCAACAACCTGCACTATACAGACGATACAACCTTGCTTGCTGAAGACTGAGGAGAACCTGAAGTGTTTGCTGCAGAAGGTCAAGGACTTCAGCCTTCAATATGGATTGGAGCTCAACATCAAGAAAATAAAGATTCTCATCACTGAGCCAATTGGCAGCATCATGATAGATGGAAAAGAAATTGAGATTGTTAACAGCTTCAGCTTGCTTGGTTCCAAAATCAACAGTCTTGGCACCAGCAGCCAGGAAATCAAAAGACAAATTCCATTGGAAAAATCTGCTGTCAGGTACCTCTCCAGAGTATTGAAGAGCAGTGATGTCAGTCTACAAACTTAAGATGTGCTTGATCTAGGCCATGGTCTTCACAATTACTTGCTATGCATCAGAGAGCTGGATAGTGACTAAGGATCATAGAAGAATTGATTCCTTTGAGTTGTAGTGCTGGAGAAGAGTACTGAATATACTATACATGGATTACTAAGAGAACAAATAGGTCTATCCTGGAGAGGATGAAATCGAGCTGCTCCTTGGAGGCAAATATTTTGAATCTCCATCTGACATACTTTGGGCATGTTGCCAGGAGGGACCAGTTCTTGGAGCAGGAGATCATCCTTGAAATGGTGAAGGGACAGTGCAAGAGGAAGATGCTGGATGAGATGGGTTGACTCCAGACTTGGAGATAGAGCAGGGTTCACTGCTGTTGTACATAGGGTCGCTATGAATCACAAGCAACTTGACAGCCTATAACCAACAACAGAGTGTTTATTAAAAATCCTAGCAAGAGGGACTCTGATTTAGATCAAGGATAGCACATGTAACTCTCTGACATTAGAATGCATAAATATTACTCCAGAGCTAGTCAACACATATCATATACATCAGCAGGTATCCGAAGGGCCAATCCTTGCTAAAGAATGATGAAGACTCTTTGTTAGTAGGAAGGGCCAGTCTCTGGAGAAAGACATCATCCTTGGCAGAGGGTTCATGAAAAAGGTCAACTCTTCCTCACTGAGATGGATCAACCCTGGCTGCAACAATGGGCTTGAATGGGCTCAAGCCCAGCAGATACTGTGAGGAGGGCACAGAGCCGGGCAGTGGGCTCTTCTGTTGTAAAGTGGGTCACTCTAAGTAAGAACTGACTTGATGGCATCAACAGCTACAGGCCCTGCTTGGAAAGTGTCTAACAAACACTTCTGGGGATTTTTGGGGAAATTTTGCCTTCAGGTTCTGCCCTCTTTGTTTCTCTCTAGAGACTCTTTTTCCACAAATAATTATAAGGTGTAGTGCTCTATATTCAGAAACATTCACTGTCCCACCAAAGAGTACTTAAAATTTCCTTGTTAAGCTATGAGCTACTTGTGGATGAACCTAGAGAAACTTGTCTTGTTCTCAATACATTTATTGAATGAAATGGTGGTTAGATAGCATTAGCATGTTTACTGTTAAGAGCTTAAAAGAAGTTCATTATTTATTTCTACTTGTATATATATATATGTATATATATATATACACACACACAAAACATATTATATGTTTGTATCTCTATCTATCTATCATCAATCATCATCTAGAATGTATTGTTATCTAGGCTCCCTGCACTTTAGAGAAATCCTGAGGAAGATAAACACAAAACCAAAAAAGCCCTGTAGAAATACAACTGAAGCTAATGTGACTAGCAGTGGAATTGATATTTTGGGCAAGGGTCTACCTGCCCCGCTTGTCCATTTTATCATGATGGTGACCTCTTGTGGCTATGGTTGCCATCCTCAGCTAGACTGCAGCAAACTACTTCAGAAGGTCTGTGAAAAACAGCCAAGCCCTACTGTGTCCTTCCTTCCTCTAATTGTGAGGGCCTATCATTTTGTCTCTCCTACTAAAGAATATGGTCACAGAGTTGGAACAAACTTGATAGCATTAGGTGTGGTGGCTTTTTTAACTAGAGAATTGGAGTCCTGGTGACGTAGTGGTTAAGTGCTCACCTACTAACTGAAAGGTTGCTAGTTCAAGTCCACTAGCTTGTGGGAAATAGATGTGGCAGTCTGCTTCTGTGAAGACAAAGCTTTTGGTACCCTCTGGGGAAGAAATGTTACATATGATGAATATTATAAAACAAAAATGTTACAAAATAAAACAAAATGTGTCAATGATTGAAAAATCAGCACTGTTTTCTAATAAATAAGAGAGGTTGGTTATGTTGAAAAGAATAAAGGAAACTTCCCCCAAACCAAAATACCCACATAACCCTACTGGCTATTTCTCCTTTTTCTGACAGGATTACTAGGAGTCAGAACTGACTTGATGGCAGTAGGTTTGGGTTTTTAGTTTTAATTACAATTATGCTGCATTAACAGGGTCCTAACATTCCTGACCTAAAGAACCCTGGGCCAAGAGAAATCACTGGCAACAAATCAAAAAAGTACTACTTAATGCCCTAGACAAGAAAACAGCTTTGCAAAATACAAACCTTTGTTGTGGTAATATTACAGCAGTGCTTTTCCTATGTTATTTGGAAAGTTGGGAAATATAGACAAGAATTTTAAGTGTCTCTGGATTCTTTGAATATGCCTTTTTTAAAGACTCAGTGGAACTGTAGCTACCTTTTAGGAAGTTGGTTTTAACACTCTAAAGAACAAATGCCCTGTCACACTTTAGATTCAGCTCAAGTTGTTAAGTTTATGAGCAGCTCTTTGGTGTACTGGTTACTTACCAGTAAATGTTTTGCAAATCTTTTAGTTGTGGGATCCGGCAAATGAAAAATTGCAAGAACCTTTTCTGCAAGAAGTACAGATTGGAGAACTTTGGTTATCTAGAGGTAAGAATGTAAAAATTCTTCTCTAAGTAGTTGTGATAGATTTTCAAGAAATGTCTGATTAGTCAGATTTGAATTATTCGATGTAGTCACCAACTTGCTTCAGTTGTAATTGTGTCAGCATTTTAAGCTTCACCATACTGCCCAGCTGATATTGCAGCCTTCTAAGTGGACAGAGAGCCCTCTGATGCCAAGGTCCACAGGGAGTTGCATTGCTGACCAAAGGCAGCATCTCTGGTAGTTTGACTAAACCAGCAGCTCCACAGAGGAGATGGGTAATCTCTTTCTGTAAGATTTACAACTTGATAAAAAAATCCGTTGGAGGGTCAGTCATGACTACTGTTCTGATTTAATGGCAATGTGTTTGAGTTTTGAGAAGTGGGAAGATTGGGGAACAAAGTTAAAACAATTACCAGGTATCAGAAAAAAGTTCAAGTAAATTAATTTCCCAGATTATGAAATAGAAAAATGCTCCCTTTGTAAAGAATTCCTAATAAATGAATAGCATTTATTTATTTATTTATTTTTTTTTAATGTTTTATTATTTTGTGTGCGTGTACCGTCAAATCAGATCTGACTGGTACAGGAGGATATTGCGCCTCCTTCTCCGGCAGAGCATCTGGTGGATTCGAACTGTGTTCCTCGGGGATTGCAGTGCAGCTTCTTGCCACTAGGCCACCAGAGCTCCCCAATAGCATTTATTTTTGATGATTCAAATCATTATGAATCATCATTCTAATGTACTGTCTAATGCGGTGCTGTCTGTAGAAATAAAATTTCATATATTAATCTTATTCTCCTCTCTTGAGCAAGTAGTTTTTCTTATTTTGAATAAGTTTTTAAGTTTGCTCAAAATTTATCAATGTTTCAGGAGACCACAGAATGGGTGTTGAACATCTCAGAAATGCTCTTTTAATGTGTGGACAACCAGAAGAACTTCTGAAGGTTTTCAAGCACACACTCCCTCCCAAGGTATTTGAGATGCTACTTCACGAAATTCCTCTTATCTGCCAGGTGAGTACATATATAACCATCTTTATGAAATGAGTATCGTAAATGACTATGTATAAATTGCAAAAGTTTTGAGTAAGTCTGTCATTATGTTTGCTTTTCTGGCTTTATAATAAAACATTTTTTCATAGTCTTTTAATTACTAATGGATCATAGATCTTGTTAAGTATTACTTATGCTTTAACATTTCAACTTTAAAGATTGAATATTTTATCTTTGTAATTCCAAAGACATAATAATTATTGGCAGTAATATGGATGTTGTTATTATGTTCTGTTGAGTGTGACTCATCGCAACCCAATGAACAGGTCTGAACCCTGTATTATTATGTGCCTTCCTCATCTCTGATAGTCAAACCCATGACTGTTGTCAATCTATCCCACTAAGGGTCTTTCTCTTTTGCTGACCTTCCATTTTCCAAGCATGATGTCCCTTTACAAGAACAGTCAGTCCCTCCTAACATTTAAATGGTATTGTTAAATACCTAATGGCCTAAAATGGATTTACAGTCATTAGGAAAAGAGTAAATTATCAAGCAGATCCAAACTTTTACATTAACATTAGAAAACAAATCACTTTGGTAAATTTAAGCATATAATTTGTATTCTAATTAGAATACTAAGCATTAATAAGTATTCTATTCATTACAAAATTAGGTTGAAATCAAGTGAAATCCATTAATAAAACCAATAATAGCTGTTAGTTTACTTATATTTATAAAAATTCTAGTTGATGCAGCAATTGAATTTCTTCAAATACACATATTTAAGAATTTGCAGACACTTAAATTTGCTTCACTTTTAATCATATGTTGTATGACTGGTCTGGCTTAGAATCTTCCATGCTTGACTCAGCTTTTGAGCAAAATAGATCAGATTCCACTAGAAAATAATTCACTTACCTACCCACATGCTGTTGACTACACCTAACAATGACAACATAGACCTATGTTGGTCTAGTGGACAGAAAGTTATGCTACCAAACCCACCAAAGTGGGTGGTTTTAATGTGTGGCCCTCAGGCCTGGGTCAAATTGTTTTTCTGTCAAATATTCTTCAGTGGTATAGCACTGGTCTGTACATTGCTGTACAGAGTTAACTTATGGTTGCTGTGATGCTAAACACTGTGACACTGATGTGCCAAATGTGATAATGGTTACCATGATGGACAGTGTTTGGTGGAGCTTCCCAATTAAAACATGCTTGGAAGCAGGAGTGACATCCACTTCCAAAACGGCTTGCCTCTGGACACTCTATGAACAGTGCTCAGGCCCTTCGTTCATAGCGTCACTATGAGTTGTCTATGACTCAACGGCACCTAACAACAACAACAACAACCCACACATGGCCACTGAGGAGTTAATTCTGACTCACTGACTACCCTCCTTTGGGTTTCCAAAGCTGTAAATTTTACCAGAAGATGGCTTCACCTTTTTCCCATGAAGTGGAGGGTGAGTCGAAGTGCTGACCTTTTGGTTAGTAACCTAGCATTTAATCACTATTTATACCACCAATGCTGCCACCTCTTAAGCTAGTCTCAGATGGGGTTTTTCCAAGAGAGATGTGAAAATGTATAATGCCCACTAGTTGTGCATTGAAATGACTAGCAAATAACTATTTTATGTATTTACCAGCAATTTGAGGCCGACATGAATGATTAGGAGTACTTGGAGGATCATCTTGATTGAAAAACATTTCAACGTATCTACAGCCCAGTCAGAATACTATGGTGCCATACAGTATAAACAACTGCTCAGTGATACTTCCATTTATTTTAGTAATAAAACTTTTCCCCCATCTCATACATGATTGAACACATATTTTGCTTTAAAATTAACAGTCATAAGTGAAGAGACAATGGTTTATTTTTCAAATCAAGTGACCAGACTGCTGACTATTAAGGCCTCATCAAGCGTTGCATCTTTGCTTCATTGAATAAGACCTTCTTCCATTTGATTTTTCCTGGTACACAGTAGTTTTGTTTCCCCAGCCATTTCCATTTGTCACAGTCATAGCAGATAGTTTAAGTTTTGCTTCAAGAGATTCTATCGCCAGAAACCTCATTTCCAGTGCAACAGCTGCTAGCAGTATTACATCAAAAGTCCACCTGTCAGAACTTCTCTACCGAGGTTGGCCAAGCAGTCCTGCTTTAGCTGCCAGAGCTTCATTCTGCTGAATATGATATTCCTGGAATCTCATGGATATTCTTTGCGTCATTTTTAAATATTTCTGTAAGCAATGTTCTGAACAGGTAGTCTAGAAAGAAAAAATTCATGAGGCAAACCAAAAATACCAGTTTAAGAAAACAGTATTTGCTTTTCTTTTTTTGTGTACTGTATCTGAGAATTAAATAATGCGTAGCAAGAGACTATAGCTTTCAATTACTTGATTCTTCTATTTACTGGTAAATATGAATATGTATCTTACGTATGTCTACAAGGTTGCTTGACCAAGAACAAGGGTAAGCAAGCTCCTCGCCTCATGGAGCTTCAGGTCTGCTTTCACTATCGGTATGTTTCAATGCCAACACACATATATACACTAGATTCTGGGCATGAAAGTTTATCAACATCACCCTGAAAGAAATTTTCATTTCATTTTGAGTCAGTGTGCAAAAGTTATGATGGGGAATACAACCACATAGGTAATTCGAGCTCTGCTCTTTCTAGTGAGTATGAGTTTTAAGGATAAGACAGAAAGACTCTGCTAAGTGTTTGTAGCCAGGTCATCTTGACAGACAGGAAGAATCTTTACTACTTAACACTTAACAGTCACTCAGCAGCTCCTGGCATATACTCTATAAACCTAAGTATTATTACAATATAACTATTATATTAAATCTGGCTTTGTTAACCTCAAATGAGGTCCTTGCCTCTTGCAGTTCTTTTGAGCAATGGAACATAAAAAATAGCTCAAATTATCCTACCACTAGGAAGAAGCAAAATGCCTAGGGAAATACTATTTATATTTCTTATAAAAGGTTTAGAGAGAGATGAGGGGGTAGAGGAAAGGAAGGTTTAAGGAAATTTTACTAGGCAACACTTTTTCATACCTCTTCAGGTTTTACTTCTCTTGTTGTGAAATCTTTAACACAGTCCAGAAAGCAGGTTTCTGTAAGTTTATTGTAGGTTCCAAGAAATTCCTTAAACTAAAAAAATAGAACAAAAGAAAATCAGAAGGTTCTGTAATGTTTTCTCCCCCCTTTTAAAAATTACAATGAAAATATAAATAGTAAAACATACCATTTCATCCATTTCATATTCTTCAAGTTATACAACCAAATGGTCCCACCACCAGGTATTTAATTTTTACAACAATTATGCTATGAAAGTTACTGATGTTTTATATTTAGATAGACCATTCTGTAATACTTGAACTCACAGGTTGTTTTGCTAATTTAAATAAGGCTAATCGAATATACAAAATATAGTTTACTAGCTGAATATTTAATTTTTCCTTTATTTCTGACAATGAAAAGTATACATGCTTCACGGTGAGATCACTCAACATGTTTGCATCCAATAGTGTCTTACACTCTTGCAAAGTCTTATTTCCCACAAACACTTTACCTGTTTTATCTGATCAGATTCTGGTATTTGTGCAGCCATATTCTTATGATATGGTTGTTAGTCACCTGATTTAAAAACAAAAGAAAAACGCCTGTCAATCTAGAAATTTATTTGCTTACAAAGTTCGGTACACATTGCATTTCACACTACTTTTCATTCACATTGTGTTTTATACAAACATTCCCATGTATCATGTTTCATAAAATCAATCACCATTGGACCTTGCCCATCATTATCTTTTCTTTTTGCCTGGATCCTTCCCCTTTCCTTGTCCCCCTCTCCCCACCCATTAAACTGAAACCCTGTGGTTTTGCCCCTACTTAACCACCCCCCTTGAGTTCCCATTCATATATTAATAGTTATCCTTCTGTTTTTCAATAATATTCTTATGCAATATTTGTCTGTATGAGACTATGTTAGGTCACTCTGCATAATGCTGCTGAATCTATAAATGTGTATTTAATATTTTTAGATTAACTTAAAACAAGAATGACATAGTGCTGAAACCAGTCTACCTCAAGTTATTGCTTACATTATATAAATTCCCAACTGTGCATATAATTATACACCACCATTAATGACATCTGAAATTTTTTAGTGTTTATTTAGAGTTAGCATTTTTTAACGGTACTGTGCCCTTAGGGCATGGGAAAAACTGTTAAAATGTACTTGACTGCTAATTGCAAGCTTAAGAGGTTGAGTTAACCCAGAGGTGCTCTGGCTCTTCCCAAAAAACCAGCCATTGAAAACTGTGAGTACAATTCTACCTTGAAGTACTTAGAGGCAACCATAAATTGGAACTGACTTGCCAGTAATTAGTTTTTCTTGACTCAAATTTATCCATCTATCTAAACCTCTGGTTTTTTAATATGTGCTACAGGAGGAGATTGCCCCTCCTTCTCCAGCAGAGCATCTGGTGGATTCAAACCATGTACCTCTGGGATTGCAGTGCAACTTCTTGCCACTAGGCCACCCGAGCTCCCTAAAACCTCTGTTTTTAAGACTGAATTGCTTAAAGGGATTGAAGGGGTCAGGCATCTCTGCATCCTTCTTATATATGTACCTGAATTATCTGTCCCACTGCTTGCTAATGTAATTTTCACCTGTCCTACTACACGATCCTTTTTACTAATATCTATGCCAGTATAAACCATACCCAAAAAACCAACCCACTGCTGTCAAGTTTATTCTGATTCATGGTGGGTGACCCTTATAGGGTTTCCCAGGCTATAAAACTTTATGGGGGCAGATTGACTGCCCATCTTTTCTCCTAAAGATGCTGGTGAATTGAAACCACAGTCCAACCTGAGATCTCCTTATGCAAACCTAAGAGTCCTATTGTTAAGAAAATACCAGCCACTTACCCATCAGTTGTTGTTATGTGCCGTCGAGTGCGACTCGTAGCGACCCTATGTACAACAGCCCTAAACTCTGCTCTGTCCTGTGCCAATCGCACCGTCTCTGATACACCCATCCTGATTACCCCAGTCACTGAATCAATCAACCTCATAGAGGGCCTTCCCCTCCTGCGCTGTCCTTCCACCCTACCAAGCATGATGTCTCTCTCCAAGGACTGGTCCTTCCTTACAACATGTCCAAAGTATGTTAGACGGAGCCTCAAAATCCTTGCCTCCAAGGAGCCGCCCGATTTAATCCTTTCCAGTACCCATCAGTTACCTTCATGAAAAATATGTAAGAGTTCTAAAAGACTATTCTGAAACCACAGTAGTTGTACATTATTTTTTAAAATGAAGAAATCTTATAGTTTTTGAAATAGTTTGTACTTGTATGTTTTGTAGTCCAAAAAGGGACAATCACAAAAATTTCTGCACATTTGCTACTTGTGATCTGATTTATGAACAACAAAGAAGGAATGATGAATAATAGGTAAAACCCTTTCAGAATTACCAGGATTGTTAAATGTAGGGCCCGGGCTCAGTTGATCCAGATCTAAGGCTGTATCCCATTATTTATTCTAGTCGCTATGAGTTGCAAGCGACTCGATGGCACATAACAACAATAATTCTAAAAAGGTTGAGCAATGCTATATAAAAGTTTGCATATAAATAGACATTAAGAAAACAAACAGCATACAAAAGGAAAAGTAAGGAAATATCAGTAATATACACTCACGGCTAACAGAATTTTCAAGATTAAGCATTATATTTGAGTTTTCTGATAACCAGCCCCCCCCCTGAGAAACTGGGTGTATCATTCTTTGTAAGAAGCTTATATGAATTGAAACTAAAAATTTAGGTTTACGTCAAAGACTGTGCTATATGTGGGTTAGGGTTAAAAAAAAAATCAATATTCTCATTTTGATTAACATGTACAGCAACTTGATTCTTAATCAAATACTTTCTCCCCAGTTATATTTTTCCTTTGCTTTTTATCTTGTAATTTCTTGACAACTCCTAACTTTTAAAGGTGTCACTTTATATGCAGTAGAAAGTAATAGTTCTTTTCTGTTTATTATCTTATTCTCAGTCCAAATGTTATAGTCTAGTTTTTGAGAAAACAACCCTATATCCAATAGGACTGCACTATTATAATCCAAAGTTGTCTGAATTTGTGATGTGGAACATGCAAGTATGGAAGGCCAACTGTACAAAAAATGAAGTATAGGTGAATATACCTCATGAATCTAGACATAAAAGTGTTTGACAAAATGTTAGCAAATAAGTTTCAGCAATATAAATATACATTTATTTAATGTCATGACTAAGTGAGGTATTTAAGGAGGCTTGGTGGCATACTGTGTTATGTGCTGGGCTAACAGAAAGGCTGAGGTGCTCTGTTGGAGAAAGACGAGGACAGTCTTTTTCTGAACTGATTTATAGCCTTAGAAACTTCAAGTGTGCTGTAAATTGGTACCAATTAGAGGACAGTGTATTTTTTTTAGAGTAAAATATTGTAATTTATTATATTTTTAATAGACTAATCTTCCATTAAAAAATGCATCTGGAGGGAGCTCTGGTGGCCTAGTGGCAAGAAGCTGCACTGCAATTCAAAAGACAGTTGCTTCAAATCCACCAGCTGCTCCACTGGAGAAGGAGGGGCAATCAATTTCCTTCTGTACTAGTCGGATTCAACAGTACACACTCACAAAAAAAAAAGAATAAAAATTTAAAAAAGTTAAAAAGAATAAAAAAACCCCAGCAACTGTGTAGTTGCTCCAAAATTAGAAAAGCAATATAGTGAATTCTGTCATCGAGCCAAGTGTTCATGAAAACACATTTGCGTACACTTATTAACATTTAAAAATAATAGGTGTAGGGCAAACAGCTCATACTGACCTTGCTCTCCCACCATAAACTACAGAGAGGACAGAATATATAACTGTTTTCAGGCATGGCAAGAATATGATCCTTGGAAAAGGGAAACACATTAGGTGAATTTGCTAACACCTCTTTCTGGCTACAGAAGTTTATGCATTTGGGTGAAAAGACCAGCAACTGGCAACTGAAATAAAGCAGCTGGAATTTAAGGAGGCAGGGTTGTAAAAGGAATATGCAGGGAAAGACACCATAAATCTGTGTTGGAATTTCACTTGTCTTTGCTCAAATCCTAAATTATTTATGTGCAGGACGAGACTTCACTGGGCCAGGCAGTTGCAGCTGCTGGGAGCTGAGACTTGAACAGAGTTTAGAGGTTGTACAGAGTTCCACCATTAACCAAGGCAAATCATTTCACCTCTGTGAGTCGCCATTCTCCTTTCATAATTGAAATTTGAACACTTTTTTTTTAAAATTCAGGCTGTTTATTTTTCATTTCAATGAACATCTACAGAGATTCTGGAAAAAATTTTGCCGTAACCCCATATAATAGCCAGTACGATAGCCACGCATGAACCAAGAGACCAGCATACTTCCCAAAGCATCAACATCTTCAAGAGAATCTGGACATATAGAAGGTGGGGGTGGAATTATTGGTGGTCCAGAAGGAAACGGAGGTAATCAGCATGATAAGAAAGAAGAGGGTGGCAGCGGTAGTGGGCCATTAAATTTTAGGCCTGGCTTCAGGGGTGGTGGAGGGAGAAAAGAGTTCCACGAGCAGCTTTAGACTTAAACTTATTGTCACCTGCTGAAATTTGACTTTCCTTTTCATTCTCTTGAGCAATCTCCTAAACACTGTCTGTATTATTAGCTCCAAACGTTGGGAAAATGAATCAGTCAGATTTTGTTCCTCTTTATTCTCATACCCAGTATAAACACAATATAAGTTTCTCTCTTAAAATCAATTGATTCAGTGGTAGCTGGGTAAATGCAGCCATCTTCTGACCAAATGGTACAACATTTATCCCTAATTTTTTACTGCTTTAATGGAGTGGTGGCATTCTTTTTTTGGTTCTTTTTCTTCTTAGTAGGTTTTCTTTTCAATGTACTTTTTGATTTGCCTGAAGCTTCACAAATGTCACCATTCTTCAAAACACACTTAAATGAAGCCACAGCAACAAACGAATGGATAGAGTAGAGAAGCGGTGGTATAGTCACACAATGGAATACTACACTGCATTGAAAAACAAGGAACTCATGCAATATTATTCAAAATGGTTGACCCTGGAAGACATTATGCTGAGTGAAATATCTCAGTCACGAAAGGATAAATATTGCCTGGTACCACTGTTGTAAAACAGGATTGACATCCGGGTTGGGAGGAGACTGAGAAAGGTGGGATAAATAATGTATACTGCACTGAAATAGAGGAGGGAGAAAATTGTTTAAAAGGGATATGTGATTAAGGAGGAGACTGAGAAAGGTGGGATAAATAATGTATACTGCACTGAAATAGAGGAGGGAGAAAATTGTTTAAAAGGGATATGTGATTAAGTATTATTGTCATGACAGGAATCTAGAACGAAGGCTGCATATGGAGTGTACCTGGGGGGAGGGATTATAAAACGATGAAAAAAATTTTTCCTTTACTTTCCAAAAAGAACCTTGTACGGGGGGAGTGGTGGGCAGGGAGAAAAGTGCAACAATGAATGAATGGAAAAAAAAAATATAAAAGAAAAGGAAATTAAAGGCATATATACTGGAAGAAGGGAAAAGAAATAGTTACTCCT